ACGAAGCCAAGATTCATCTTGTCTGCTGGATTCCTTAGATAGAGAACTTTACTAATTGTCTTTTATGTGAATGTTCCTGTAAAGTCCCTGAGACAACTTTGTTGTGATTTGGCGCTTTATAAATAAACTGAATTGAATTGAATTGAAATTCTTTCCTGGAACAATATTTTGCTCCAACCTATAAAGGATGACAGAAATATTTTATTGATATTAAAGTCTTCAAACAGCGGACACACGTTCAGCTCCAGCTCCGGCCACTGCAGCTGTAAGAAAAGTCTGTTGTCATTAAATTGATTATTCCTATAAATAAATTCCCGTTACTCATAAATTTGTGTAAAAGCAGGAAGTTAAAGTCGACACACGAAGCGTCCCACTTTCAGAAATTACATTCTTAATAAGAGATGTCGTCCATTTTGCCTGAACCGTTTTTGTTCCACTTATTTTCTATGCAGCTAAATTTAGCTTTTCATTTCGACTGTAGCTCGGGTGTAATTTGAATTTTACATCTTGATTATTATATTTGGGAAAATGTAGAGTTACATTAGCCCCCCCGGAGTTAGGAGGCCTTTATTTCTGGGCTGCGCCCGGCGGGTTGGCTCAGCCGTAAAATGAGCGTGAAGACAGTCGGCTTCAGAAACTGAATGTTTAACGTTGTCCAGCTGAGACTCCAGCAGGAATCCTGCTGTTTAAAAACCTTCAGGAACGCCGTCAGGCCCGGCCCGGTCAGGCCCGGCCCAGTCAGGCCCGGTCAGGCCCGGTCCGCACACGTGCTCTGACTTCTAACCAAACGTTTCCCTCCACGCTAAGATTTAGAGTTAACGTTCAGCTTCATCGTACATCAAAACTTTTTCACCTTCAATGTGATGTGGAGGTTAATTTTGCAGGACGTCAGATTATTTTCCACCTGCCACAACTTTGAACTTAATTCTCAACATTTCTGTAGAAATGTTTAAGGCGCCACGGCAGCTCCTACCTGAAAATCCAACATCTATAAACAATTTTCTCTAAAGCCCAAAACGTTTTCTCCACTTCCTTGCCTAACAATTTAAGCTATGAATAAACCAGACTATAATTTTGAAGAGTATCTACAAACTTTATTTTGAAACTCCAGATTAGAACCTCTTCCTGTTTGCTCTTGAGAATATCTTACTTAGTTCTCCCAAACATTAAATGTTTTTTTAGAGTTGACCTGAAGTCGTCTGGTTTCTGCGACGATTCCCGCCTTTTCTGGGGAGCTGAAAGCAGAGCGGCAGCACACAGCGGCACTTTAAACAGACTGAAAAGTAAGCCTCAGACAAACGGTTGGTGTTGGCTGTAAAAATCACGTTCATTTTTATGTTTCTAAAGTATTTCATAAATACTGGTCACTTCCAGATTTAATGAGAAAATGTTGAGCTCAGACATGATGGACGTCAATGAGCGTATGGATGTCTGACTTCTATGGGATTTAAGAGGAAACCATCAGTGCCACAGTAGTGAGATACAGCGGATGAAAGAAGACAAAAATATTCATGTTTTGATGAATGAACTGTAATAAAAATGAATAAAGGATCATAAAAAGTACACCTGTGTCATAGAAACTACACATGGAACATAGAAACTACACGAGGACTACAGAAACTACACGAGGACCATTAAATCTACACCTGGACCATAGAAACTATTTCAGGACTACAGAAACTATGCATTGAACATTGAAACTATACCTGAACCATAGAAATTACAATGTCTATAGAAACCACAAGACCATAGAAAGTACGTCTGGACCTTAGAAACTACGCAAGGACCATAAAAACTACACTAGAACCATAGAAACTATACCAGGACGATATAAACTACACCTGGACCATAGAAATTATAACTGGATTATAGAAACTACACCTGAACCATAGAAACTATGACAATACCATAGAAACTACACATGACCATGGAACTACTTCAGGACTACAAAAACTACACTTGGACCATTGGAACTACTTCAGGACTATAAAAACTACACTTGTACCATGGGAACTACACCTGGACCATAGGAACTACACATGGATCATATAAACTTCACCTGAACCATAGAAACTACACCTAGACCATAGGAACTACACATGGAACATAGAAACTACACCTGGACCATAGAAACTACATCTGAACCATAGAAACTACGCCTGAACCATAAAAATTACAACAGGACCATAGAAATCACAAGTCCATAAAAACTACACCTAAACCTTAGAAACTACACGAGGACCATATAAACTACACCAGAACCATAGAAACTACACCAGAACCATAAAAGCTATACCAGGACCATATAAACTACACCAGAATCATAGAAACTACACCAGAACCATAAAAACTACACCTGGACCATAGAAACTACTCCTGAACCATAGATGATATAACAGGACCATAGAAACTACACCTGGACCATATAAACTAATTTTGAACCATACACCAGAACCATAAAAACTACACCAGGACCATAGAAACTACGCCTGAACCATAAAAATTACAACAGGACCATAGAAATCACAAGTCCATAAAAACTACACCTAAACCTTAGAAACTACACGAGGACCATATAAACTACACCAGAACCATA